TTGAAGTTCTGTTTACATTTACCCCGAGTTTTCGAATTCTCGGGGTAAATGTAAACACTTAATTATTTATTAACTGAATTGACGAAAATCAAAAATCAAAGTCAATTTTTGTTAGGGCATTAATAAGGAAGAATTACATATTTTTGTTTGATTTTTAAATTCATTTTTAGGCTAATGCGAGACAAAATAATGAAACAGTAAAAATTTGATTTTCAATCTTTTTTGCATTAAAAAATAACTTACATTATGGCATTGCCAATTGTCAAAATAAAATATTAGCAATACTCAAAACATCTTGTAGGTGAGCTCAGGTAAAAATATTGACGTCGTACTTATTTTTAAATTTGTAAATTTAGCTGAAACATCTACTGTTTACATTCACCCCAAATGACCCTAAATTGAAATTTCTTTTAAAAAGTGATTTTTCTTAAAACCAAAGTTATATATCGATTTTAGAGTTTTTCCTTTCATTACAATCACTGATAAATAATGAAATTTTTCCCACTTATGCTAAAAAGGTGTTCTTTAAGGTTTCAATGAGGCCTTGGATCTAATAACTCGCCCGACGCTCGGAGGAACGCGCAACTGCCAGTCAATGAGCAGGGAGCGCCTCTGGGCCACTCACTGCTACCCGACTGGTATTAGCGCGTGCCTTCGAGCGTGGGGAGAGTTATTCGATCCAAGGCCTCGATATTTAATATTATGTCATTTGTTGAACAGTTTTATTCAACTTTTACACTGGCTAGAAAATTAACGACTGACATAATTTTAAATATTATTTTAACCCTAAAAAACACCACTTTGGCATAAATTGGAAAAATTTCTTTATTTATCACTGGTTGTAATGAAAGAAAAAAATCGATTACTTCGGTTATGAGAAAAGTAACTTTTTAGAAAAAATTTCAATTTATTTAATGTCGAATTCCGAAACCCAAATTCAATCCTGGATCGTCAAGATGATGATGATTTGACGATTGTCTATCAGTCGGGTCAAAGTTCATCATTTTTTTATTTCAAATCGAAAATAGTCGACATCAAAAGTTGGGTAAATAAATAAAATAAATAATAAATAAATTTACTAAGTAATTGTCTCTGTTGTTATTAAGTTACTAGCTGTCGTACCCGTCTTCGACGGGTTTTAGTTTCTACTAATATATTTGAACAGGTGTCTACCAATTGGGAATTTAATTTGACTGGGAAAAACTAATAATTAGTTACCATTAACTATTTCATTATCAAAATATTACCATTTGAATCAGTAAATGACTTTTTCTATCAAATACTATTTTCAACTAATTCAGATTTACAGAACAGTATTTGTCAATTTGTAGTACTTTATGCGTTCGTAGTATTTTAATTAATGCATTAATAATTAATACTAATTTTCCACCAGCTTTTGGAGTTATATAAGAGTCTAATTCGAACTAATTGTATCGCAAGTAGGCCCCACGTTACGACTGCTAAAATCAAAAATAAGACCTATATTGTAATCTGAAAGTAGGTCTTAAATTTTGACAAATAAAAATATAACATATATAACATCATCAATATAAATTAAAGCAAAAACAATTTTTTAAAAATGAATTAATATAATAAAACTTTTTTTAATTAGATAAGAAAATTCCCGATTTTTCTAGTCGAATTAAATTCCCGGCTATTTCTCGGGATACCTTTGCGATTAATAGACACTCTGTTAAATGTATTCGTAGAAATTATAACACGTTTTTGATTCCCACATGGGAAATCTACATGGGATCCACTTTTATAAAGGAAACCATATTGATTCCTATGTAAAACCGTATGGTATAATTTTTCCATACACCTATTAAAAATTTCCACATGGGATTTTACATTTTACCCGTTTTTGCGTAATGCCCGGATAGAATTTTGGAAAGCAACAACATACCCCAAACATTTCTAAAATTCAAGAAGAACAATTTTAATTCATAAATAGGAATTTGTTATTTATTTTCAAAGTCATTTCTAAAACATTTCTTGAATTCAAAAAAAAGAAAATTTTGATTCATAAATCCCAATTTGCCCTAATGGCATCTTAAGGACTTTCTGTGTCCCAGTGCCCGCTGAAGTCAAATTTCAGTATTATTGATACTTTTACTGTATACCCTTTATATTAAACATAAATATTTTATTTTCTACGTTAAATATGATAATACATACTATGAAATTTTCAAACTTAAAACCTGAAAATATCAATATAGAAATTGTTTGCAAACTCTCACCTTAATTGATTTTAGAAAATTTGTAATCGGCATCAAATTCATGACTCTAAGCTTTTTAATAAAATAAATGTAATGAATGTAATTAAAAATTTAAAAACATCAATCGATATCACTACCAACTTAATAAAAAATTAAACAATATTCAACAAAAAAAATTAATTAATTGTTGAAAATCAAAAATATGATTTTGGCTTAAAAATTCGGATTAATTATTTATATTTCATTTTTATAGTAAAAATTAGTTGTATTTACATTAAAAAGTAGCTACAAAAAGTGTCACATCAATTTGACAAAAATTTAAAAAATTTGCATTTTTTTGAATTTTGTGAAAAAAGCTATAAATTTCGTTCAGCTATTTTTCAATCGGATATGGCTATAAATTTAAGTTAGACTCAGACCAAAGAGACTGTAAAGTTTCGTTTTAATCGGTCAAGTAGTCTTTGTGTTTATCCCGGACAAAATATTGCGTACAGACATACATACATACATACATACATACACACAGACATACATACATACATACATACATAATTTTTTTTATTGTCATTTTTGGAATTCTTACTACTCGAATAGAAAAACTAAACATGAAATTTCAAATTCTATGCAATGTACAGACAAAAGTCTGATCTTATTTATAAAGATTCTACATTTGGCAAATATGCATAAAGTTAACGTAGAATAGATTCGGCAATAACGAGAATCTCGGGAAAAAGACAATGAAAACAATTGAATGTTATATACCTAACTATTCAATTGTTTTCATTCCCTTTTCCACGAGATTCTCGTTTTCGACGCGACGAGTCTCGCTCGTAATTCAACTCTAGTGTTATGGTACATCTTCGAAGTAACGTTTAATCAAAAAGTAAACAAATACTTATTAACAATCTACATATTATTTATTACGAGTGCTGTGCTTTATATTAAGGCCCGTAGGACGAAAATACGTTTATTCCCCTGGTTGTGGCCGTTCATATTAGGATTGGCAGACGGTTCTCAGCCCTGCCAGCTGGGGTACTATGAGTCCTGTATGAACTATATACTGACTGTCCAAGTGGCCACTTGGGAAGTAAACGATTGGTTCAATAATGGGCCATGCTTGGCGAACTCCGTTCCATTATTGGAACATTAATGGCAACCATCATTGAACCACCAATGGTTTAAACTTGGGATGATCACGCTACTGCCAATGATCGGTAGCCAAGCATCGGGCCAATATTAGTTGCCAAGGAATTGCCAAGGAAACAAAATCGATTTTTAAAAGCTTGATTTTTTATTGGCAGCCAACAAAAAACCAAGGTTTTGAAAATTGATTTTTTTTAATTATTAATTAAAATTTATTTTCAAAAAATATATTTTTCAAAAATTAATTTTAAAAAAATATATTTTTCAAAAATATATATTTTTTTAAATTAATAGAACATATTAATTTAATTTGTCACCTCTGGTAAAACAAAGATGAAAGACTGATAAATTCCCTCACTTTATATTTTACAGTGGAGGGATAACTGTGAATGTCTTTGCGAGAGAGGAGCAGGTACTTATATAGAGCCAGTGAAACAGGTCACAAGCGAGAAAAAATCACTAGCATGCACTCTGGCGGCGCTTGTCGGAAGTGGCGCAACGTTGGTTGCCAAGCGCTGTGTCGATAACGTCAGGATATGCATGCGCGCCAGAAAACAGTTCCGACAAGCGCCGCCAGAGTGCATGCTAGTGATTTTTTCTCGCTTGTGACCTGTTTCACTGGCTCTATATAAGTACCTGCTCCTCTCTCGCAAAGACATTCACAGTTATCCCTCCACTGTAAGATATAAAGTGAGGGAATTTATCAGTCTTTCATCTTTGTTTTACCAGAGGTGACAAATTAAATTAATATGTTCTATTAATTTAAAAAAATATATATTTTTAAAAAATAAATTTTTGAAAAAAAATATTTTTTAAAAATAAATTTTAATTAATAATTAAAAAAAACCAATTTTTAAAACCTTGGTTTTTTGTTGGCTGCCAATAAAAAATCAAGCTTTTGAAAATCGATTTTGTTTCCTTGGCAATTCCTTGGCAACTAATATTGGCCCGATGCTTGGCTACCGATCATTGGCAGTAGCGTGATCATCCCAAGTTTAAACCATTGGTGGTCCAATGATGGTTGCCAATTGTTTTGCCAAGAAAAAACCATTGGGCACCAAGCATGGCCCATTATTGAACCAATCGTTAACATTGGCAACTTCCCGTTGGGGGTTTATAACTCTCGTATTAATATAAATGACCAATTATTAATATTACAATATTTATGAATTGACATTAAACATTCGATTCTTAATTAAAAGTAAAAATGCAATTTTAAATAAATACTATGAATAATGTTCCTTTCTGATTGATACAGTATATCCGGCGTTAGGTAGAATGAATCTGCAGAAATTTTGTCACGTGTTCTTTATCTATAAAGAGACCGAACGCGCGCTCTAGCGCGCGTGTTTACTTTTTTATTTAATACTTATTTAAGTAATAAATCATATTAATCAATTAGTATTTAATTTATTAAACATACAATTCTTTATATACATAGTTTTTAACAATGTTAGATGTTCGTTGACTCCCAAGAAAAATTTTAAGAGATTCCCAAGAACGAACTCTTGAAAATGCAACATATAATTGTCCATGATTAAATACATCTTTTCGTAAATCGATTCCAATCATATCAAATGTTTGACCTTGACTCTTATTAATAGTCATTGCAAATGCTAATTTTATTGGAAATTGGCGTCATTTAAATGTAAATGGATACAAATTTCCATAATATAAGTCTATTCTATGTATAAATACTATATTACCAGCTTTATCACCTGTTAAAATTTTACACCGTAAAAGATTATTCGCAAGCTCTAACACTTGTAATCTTGTTCCGTTACACAGTCCTTCATTGATACTTAAATTTCTAACTAACATAACAATACAATTGACTCTTAATCGTAATTCGTATGATGGAAAGTTAGGAGGATTTAATGTATTTAAGTATTCTGGCAAAAGTCCATCATTAATTTCTCCATTGTCACAATTTTTAACGCTATCGACGCTAGTATAAATTTCTTCCGTATTTTTGTCGAGAAGTTCTACAACTCTGCAATTGATTTCTTCAACGTCAATGTTTCTTGCTTCTAAAATTGCAACTTTTGATAAATTTCCATATTTACGTTCTGCAATCAATGAACCAAAAATTGTGCGAACAATATCATCAGATTTTGAGGCTACACATTTTTCTGGTAGCAATAAATTATTATCTTTATCATTTAAGATTCCATCACCAACAGATAATAGAAATTTTGCAAATTCTGTTTCTTCTGATAAAGTTCGCATATTTTTAGTCAGTGTATGTAAAGAGAAATTTTTCCAAAGAGAACTAAATTTAATTGACAAATTGACCATTTCACTTCGAGTAGCATGAATTTTTACAGGTAAAAGTTGCCTGAAATCTCCACCAAGTACCATTACTTTTCCACCAAATGGTAAATCTACGTTCATTAAATCACGCAAAGTTCTATCAATTAAGTCTAAAGCATAACGGGGTGCCATTGGTGCTTCATCCCAGATAAAAACATCAACTTGCTTCAAGTATTCAGCATCTTTAGATTGACTTTTGAAATTTGAAACAGAGTCTGAAAACAAAGGTACTGGCATTCCAAATGTTTTATGAAGTGTCTTTCCATGAGGAAATAATATTGCTGCAATACCCGTAAATGCCGTGGTGCAAATAGTTTTTTTCTTACTTTTTAATAAATAATATAATGTAGTATAAATAAATGTTTTACTTGATCCACCAGGACCATCTATATAAAAGCATGACGATGGTTTGTTTAATAAAACAGCTTCCAATATCATATCAACAACACTTTTTTGTTGACAATTTAATTTTAAGTATTGACTTTGACCCAGTTCTTCGGGATTTTCTAGGACAAAGTTATTGCTACTATCAATATTTACATTTGTATAATTTACGACATCAGATAAAAACGGAAATTTACCAATGTCTAAATTTTCATTAGAAAGAATATTATTAAATTCTAAAATTGTGTGTCTATAAGAAATTAATATATCATTATTTCTTTAAAAATCTTCTGACATTCAATCTTTAAATTTTTTGCAGAGATCTTTTGGATTATTGGGTTGACAATATAATAATATACGAATATTTTATTATTATTATTATTATTATTATTATTATTATTATTATTATTATTATTTCTAGTACACTGGTTTTCATAAGTAGAATTACTAATATCACAGGCACACAAAAAAATAAAAAAGTCAAAACCCAGAGGTTACACCCCCCTTTCCCCATGTTTTTGGGGTCGCTGAAACCGAATATGACCATGAAAATTTTTTTTCATCGGACATTTTCCCGCTAACACCCCCTTACACCTGCTCCCGGGGGTTGGAATTTCAGTTTTAAAAGAAGTGGAGTAGGGTGTCTATTCCTATGTTTTTTGGGTCGCTAAAACCAAAAAAGACTACCAAAAACAAATTCTTCCCTCCCTTAATCCCCTACAACCCCCTTAACACCCGAAAGGTGGGGGGTCGAAATTCGAATTTTCACGAAAAGACGATTACGGTGTCTAAACCTACGTTTTTTGGGTCACCGAAACCAAAAAAGATTCCCTAAATCAAATCCTTTCCACCCCGATCCCCTACAACCCCCTGTAATAATTTTTTTCAAATAAAACGAACCGATTTTTGGGAGATTGAAAATTAAATATTAATTATCAAAAATTATTGCAGGGGGTTGTAGGATGTTGAGGATAGAAAGGATTTGATTTTGGTAGTCTTTTTTGGTTTCGGTGACCCAAAAAACGTAGGTTTAGACACCGTAATCGACTTTTCGTGTAAATTCGAATTTCGACCCCCCACCTTTCGGGTGTTAAGGGGGTTGTAGGGGATTAAGGGAGGGAAGAATTTGTTTTTGGTAGTCTTTTTTGGTTTTAGCGACCCAAAAAACATAGGAATAGACACCCTACTCCACTTTTTTTTAAACTGAAATTCCAACCCCCGGGAGCAGGTGTAAGGGGGTGGTAGCGGGAAAATGGCCGATGAAAAAAAAACTTCATGGTCTTATTCGGTTTCAGCGACCCCAAAAACATGGGGATAGGGGGGTGTGACCTCTGGGTTTTGACTTTTTTATTTTTTTGTGTGCCTGTGTATTCAATACTTCACTTTCTGAATTTTGTACAATAGGAACATTAATATTTTCTGAAGTGTCAATTTCAGAATTACTAATATTCAATACTTCATTTTCTAAATTTTGTACAATAGGAACATTAATATTTTCTGAAGTGTCAACTTCAACCGTGGATGTTTCCATTGTTTCTGAAAAATTAATCGATTTTTTAAGACACTGATAATTTTTCATTCTTTCGCGATAAGCTCGTTGTCGAACAGTATCTTTTTTACGTTTTAGTTTCTTGTATTCTTCTTCAGCTTCTTTTGATCTTTGTTTTTCTCTTTGATCTGAATCAGTATTGAAAGGTTTATTTTCAGACATAACATCGCTTATATTCAAATTATCAGCCATTACATTGCTCTCAATAGAAACGTCAGTATTTTTTATATATTACTTTCAGAGCATGAAGTAGATAAAATTGTAGTTTCTTTATTTGACAATAATTCTTTTGTTGCTAATGTCGTTTCTGCACCATCCAACAATTTTTTTGTTGAAGATTGTTTTCTTTTTGTTTTATCACGATAAGATCTTTGTCGATCAGCATTCTTTTTACGTTTTTTTTTCTTTAAACTCACCTTCTTCTTCCTTTAATCGTTTTAATCTCCTTTTTGGCAAATTAAAGTTAGAAAAATTATTTATTTCACAGCGAGAAGTAGACTGAATTGCAATTTCTTCATTTGACAATAATTTCGTTATTTGTAATGTAGTTTCAGCATCCTCTAACAATTTTTTTGTTGAAGTTTGCTTTCTTTTTATTTTTTCGCGATAAGCTCTTTGTCGAGCAGCATCCTTTTTACGTTTTTGTTCTTTAAATTCATCTTCTGCTTTTGATACCCGTGCTTTATCCTGTGTTAAATTAATAGCAGAAAATTTATTTATTTCACAGTGAGAAGTAGACTGAATTTGAGTTTCTTCATTTGCCAATAATTCTGTCGTTTGTAATTTAGTTGCACCACCCTCTAACAATTTTTTTGTTACAGATTGTTTTCTTTTTACTTTTTCGCGATAAGCTCTTTGTCGAGCAGCATCCTTTTTACGTTTTTGTTCTTTAAACTCTTCTTCTTTTTTTGTTGGTTCTACTTTCCCCTGAGTCAAATTAATCCCAGAAAATTTATTTGCAGAAATGAAATCGTCTATGTTTAAACAATCACTTTGTTTTGGATTTTTTCGCAATGTGATGTAGATTGAATTGAATGATTTTCATCTTGCAACAATTCTTGTGTTTCACAATTCGTGTTGGAAATCTCTGACTGCTGCTTTATTAACAACTGATTATTTTTTATTTTCAATCGATACAATCATTGTCGTTCAGCATCTTTTGTACGTTTATTTTTCTTAATTGCGCTCTTTTTTTGACGATAACTTCGCTGTCGAGTCGCATCCATTTCATTTTTTTTCTTTTAAATACCTCTTCATCTGGTTCTAAACAATCTGCTTTTCGTTTTGACTTCAAAACTTTTCGATTTTTAATCATTACTAATAATAATATAGTCTAATTTAAATAAAATAATAATTAATATAAAAATTATTGATTAAATATGAGAATTGGTATCTGATGAAATGTATTTGTTGAAATTGATGATTTGAATATGAACGAATGTATTAATGCGAATCCAATAATTTTGATTTGAAATATTCCATAAAATATATATTATATTTTATATTTTAACATTGAAATTTGTACAATAAATAATTGATTAAATTAAATTAATTGTTTTAATTATATGAAATACTATTTGTAATTGTTGTTAATAATATTAGTTTAAAAAAGTTTCTGATTTATAAAATGTAATATTTTTATATTTTTATTGCCTTAAATTAAACAATTTGCTTAAATAAATTTTTTATTTCAATTTTGTAAATAAAATGTAATTAAATATTGTTTAAAAATAAAGAATATTACTAAACTAAGAACTAACCTACGAATAATTTTCTTCTTTTGCTTTTTTATTGTACAAAATAAATAAAATAACGATTATTGAATCTCGAATTCTCAAATCACAAATAACACGATTTTCAACAAATCAATTTATTGTGAACTTTTTTATGTTTGGTAATACTTTTTCGAAGAAAACAATTTTTTTAAATGTCAAAATTCAAATATTTGATACCTTCACATTTATACTAAATTTTTAAGCGCAAAATATTTTTTACCTATAAGACTGAAGTCCGCAACGTTTGGAAAAATAAAAAATTTGAATATTTTTTAAATTAAAAATAGCGATTACACTCGACTCTCGGATATTTTGCATTTACGGGACTAAATCCTCTCATACCTTTTACCAAAAAAAATGCCATGGTATCGCAAAACAAAACAATATGTATAACCAAATATGTAAATTAATGACAGTATTTATGTTTTAGTTTTAATATTTACATTTATAAAATTAAAATTTTAATATAATTTTAATCATATAATGGAGGAGCTGTTCTAATTTACATTAGATAATCAAAGTTATCGCGAAATAAATGTTTTGACAATTTGATAGTCATTTATTTATTTAATATGAAAGGTAAAAGGTGCGGGAAAAAAATTGCAAAAGAAGCGAGAGTGTAAAAGAACTGAATGCAAAAGATCCGAGAGTCGAGTGTAATTTGATAACTTTTGGAAAAAATGTATATTTTATATGGATTAATCGATTCACTTTCCTGCCAAGAATATAATTTTGACAAAAGTCAATTCAAATTTCAAGATAAAAAAATATTTCAAAAAATCCGAAAATAGATTTTTTCACAAATTAAAAATGTCTGATTTTAGATGTCCAATAACGTAAAAAAATTTATTATTTTTTAAATTTATTTAATTTTAATTTAATTTTTTTTATTATTATTTGTGACATCATATTCTTGTCATTTTACTTCCGAATTTCGGGAACGTTATTTCTTTTCGGTCTGATCGAAAAAAAGTTAAATTACTCTACCAGTCAAAATTGAGAAACCACCCATTTTCAGGTGAATGAAAAACATTTTAAAACATAAAATGTATGAAAACTAAAATTTTTTTCTTTTATTTTTTGAAACATGATAAAATTTTGAAAAGAACAAGGTCTTTCATAAGTCATTTGGCCAATATTTTGTTTAGATATTTTTAAAAAATCTTATTTTTCAATGTTTTACACAAATTTTAATAACCTCTAAAATAGGCCAACAAAATTTTGTAGCCTTACCAATGGAAGCCAATCTTTATAGGATTTTGTCCGTAGAATACAAATTTGACCTTGAAAATATTGGATTGGCTCTAGCTTTCAAGCAATTTACGTTTCAATACGGAAAATACGCATTTTTGGCATTTTTTGAATAAATGTAAAACCATATATACCGAAATAGTAAATCTGTCCGCATAGGACCAAATTAAAGCTTAAATACTGCTCTTTAATATCCAAAAACAAAAAATTTAATTTATATACACTTTAACCTTTAATGTGCAATGAAACATACGCTGTTTCATATAAACGTATTGAAAATAACATTACTTTTGACCATGTAAGGCAATTTAAGTAAAAATTAGTCTCTCTGGGGTTTTTGTAGTCGCTGCTTACAAATCTGTATTCAGATTTTAATATTTAAAATGGCGGATTCAATATCGCGAATTTTTTTTTAATTTTACTTTTTTATTATAAAGGTGTAAACTATTTTTGAAAATTGGTCCGCCATTTTTATATTTTATAGCAAATTTATAAGCAGCGATCACGAAAACCCCGAGAGATACTAATTTTTACTTAAATTGCCTTACCTGGTCAAAAGTAATGTTATTTTCAATAGGTTTATGAAACAGCGTATGTCCCATTAGACATTAAAGGATAAAGTGTAAATAAATTAAACTTTTTGTTTTTGGATATTAAAGAGCAGTATTTAAGATTTAATTTGGTCCTATGCGGACAGATTTACTATTTCGGTATATGGTTTTACATTTATTCACCCCCACAGCACCGAAACTTTCCTAAAAATTTATTAAATATTTACTTGCAATATTCGGCATATTTAACTGAAAAGTTTAGTGAAAATTGTGTAAAGATTTAATCGGGACATTTAAATCTTTACACAACTTTCAATAAACATTGCAATTACATATTCCGAACATTGCAAGTAAATATTTAATAAATTTTTAGGAAAGTTTCGGTGCTGTGGGGGCAAAAAATGCCAAAAATGCGTATTTTCCGTATTGAAACGTAAATTGCTTGAAAGCTAGAGCCAATCCAATTTTTTCAAGGTCAATTTCGGATTCTACGGACAAAATCTTATCAGAATCGGCTATAACATTTTAGGCAACATGCAGTTGATGAAATTTTGTTGGCCTGGGTAATGAATGCTTTTTAATGATCTTAGGCTTATTTTAACCCATTAACGTCCAAATGTACAATTTTTTGGACCAAAGTTTGACACTATATTCTAACATAAAAACTCAACAGAAAAAATTCCGCAATAGTAATTTCTTATTGGCCAAAAACCACTCTTTCGAATGGCGTTCCAAAAAATTTTATAAATTTATAAATAAACAAATTACATATGTTTTTTTAAATTAGATCTAAAAGTCCTAAATAACGCGTCAAAAATATATTCCCTATCAGATAGGGTCTAAAGTGAATTTTTATTTACAATATCGTATAGCCATGTGAACAAAATCGCAAAACTTGATAGATTTCTTTAAAATTTGACATGTAAGTGTTTTTGATGTCCTTGATCACGAAAACAAAGTCAGAGTTTAAAAATTCAAAATGGCGGATACAACATGGCGGACGAAAATTTTTTGAAAATCTGGATTTGCTTGAAATTTGTTACTCGGGGGATTTTCAGGGTCGCTGATTACGAATCCAAAGTCAGATTTTGAAAATTCAAAATGGCGGATCTAATATGGCGGATAAAATTTAATAGGGCAAATAAAATTGTTAAAAACTGATTGGATTCACTTGAAAATTGTTACTCGGGAGGTTTTCAGGGTCGCTGATTACGAATCCAAAGTCAGATTTTGAAAATTCATAATTGCGGATCCAATATGGCGGATGAAATACAATAGGGCGAATAAAATTATAAAAAACTAATTAGATTTGCTTGAAATTTGTTACTCGGGGGGTTTTCAGGGTAGCTGATTACAAATCCAAAGTCAGATTTTGAAAATTCAAAATGGCGGATCTAATATGGCGGATAAAATTTAATAGGGCAAATAAAATTGTTAAAAACCGATTGGATTCACTTGAAAATTGTTACTCGGGAGGTTTTCAGGGTCGCTGATTACGAATCGAAAGTCAGATTTTGAAAATACATAATTGCGGATCCAATATGGCAGATGAAATACAATAGGACGAATAAAATTGTTAAAAACTAATTAGATTCACTTGAAAATTGTTACTCGGGGGTTTTCAGGGTCGCTGATTACGAATTCAAAGTCAGATTTTAAAAATTTAAAATGTCGAATCCAATATAGCGGATAAAATTCAATAGGGCGAATGAAATTTTTAAAAACAAATTGGATTCACTTGAAAATTGTTACTCAGGGGTTTTCAGGGTCGCCCTATTGAATTTTATCCGCCATATTGGATCCGCCATTTTGAATTTTCAAAATCTGATTTTGGATTCGTAATCAGCAACCCTGAAAATCCCCTGAGCAACAAATTTCAAGCAAATCCACAGATTTTCAAAAAATTTCATCCGCCATGTTGGATCCGCCATTTTGAATTTTTAAACAGTGACTTTTTTTTCGTGATCAGGGACATTAAAAACACTTAGCTGTCAAATTTTAAAGAAATCTATCAAGTTTTGCGATTTTGTTCACATGGCTACGATATTGTAAATAAAAATTCACTTTAGACGCCATTTTGTGTCCGCCATTTTGAAATTTTTTTTTTCGGAATACCCCTATCTGATAGGAAATATATTTTTGACGCGTTATTTAGGACTTTTAGATGTGTTCCAATACGAATACCTGTACTAAAATTAGAAAAACTAAAAAAAAACCTAAAAATTTTATGTTTTTTATTAAAAAAACATATGTAATTTGTTTATTTATAAATTTATAAAATTTTTTGGAATGCCATTCGAAAGAGTGGTTTTTGGCCAATAAGAAATTACTATTGCGGAATTTTTTCTGTTGAGTTTTTATGTTAGAATATAGTGTCAAACTTTGGTCCAAAAAATTGTACATTTGGGCGTTAATGGGTTAAAGGTGATTTTCTATATTGATCGACATTCGATCGAATGGACATTTGATCGAAACGGTTTTAAACTGTCCAGTAATATTTAAAACATGTTTGAAATGTTGCTGCAAGGTTTAAAACCGATTCGATCAAATGTCCATTCGATCGAATGTCTTTTCGATCAAATGTCTTTTCGATCAATTGTTTATTTAATCAAATGCCGTTCAAGCGAATGTCTATTCGATCAATTATCTTATAGGAAGAATTCCTGCCCCTCGAGAATTACTTATAGGCATTAACGTGTAATTTTTTTCTTATAAAATGTAGGACATCAAACATGGAC